AAATTGCAAAGATGAGCAAGTGCATTCTCAGTGTGTGGAGAATCTGCGACATAATTCATTACACACAGAGAAGAGGGATGTCAAGTGGTGGGCACACTTGGCCCTTTAATGTGTTGGCTTCCTGGCAATCCCAGGGCAGAGCAGCCAGGAGCACAAAACTGGATTCCTTCCTCGGCTTCTCAGTCAAAGCACTGCCTGCCATCTTGTCCCCGGATGCATCTCAGCCAGCACAACGCCCAGTGAACACACAACATTACAGGTCCCTTTCCTTACACTGGGAACCAAATGGGGAAAAAGCCTAGTCAAGGGTGCAGTGTGGGAAAGGCCTGTACTTACGAGAGGCTCTCCTTAATTGCTGTGTCTGCATTGAAAATAATTGTGTGGAACTCTCAAGGAATGAAGCTTTGTCAGCTCAGCAAGGTAGCAACTGGAACCTGAACATACTGAAAAGGCAAGGCATACCTGCTGGAGCTCTTCGTAAGTGACGAAGAAGACATTGGGTCTTTCCTTCACCCCAATCCAGCTTTTCACATGGTCAAACCAGGAACCATATAGCACTGAAAGGGCGAAGATATAGAACAAGAGTAAGCAGCTGAGTGGATGCAGGTGGGACTCGGAAGGGTGGTTTGAAGTCTCTGTCCAGAGTGGGGACCTGCAAGATGAATCACAACTGTGTCAACTGAGCCCCTGTGTGAGTTCCTCACACAAACCCCTGAAAGAGATCCCTCCCAGGGAACCTCCCTGCATGTTCCCCCCATGGGCAATGGGGAATATACTTGCTGGGCGTGCAGAAACCCCTGGATAGCAGGAGAGGAGGCAGAGCCTGAGCAGACAAATAGCTCCTCCTTGTGTGAGGGCAGCACTCACAGGAGAAGGATTAAAGCAGGAAGCAGCAGAAATAGAAGGCCATCTTTTTTGGGAATGTCGGGAGAAATCAGGGAGGCGCTGGGCCAATGCGTACGAGACACAGCCAGGCATCCTGCTGGGAAACAACAGTCTGTTCTTTGGCATCACTGCTCCACTACGGTTTCTCCAGTCATCTAAACCTGGCATTATGCCTTCCATTATGGCGCTTCATATACAGCTGCTCCAGAGTTCCCTGCAAAGAGCAATAGAAGCTGCTGCAGCCACCTGACCTGGGCTGAGCAGGCAGGGTGGAAACCTGAGTATTGAGGAAACCAGTTGGTAGGTAAATGTGGAACATAGTAACCACAGAGGAGTGGTCTCCTAACTTGCTTCCGTTTCCAGGCACCGCATCTCCCTGTTGTGCTCAGGATGCTGCTGCAGGTCTTCCTGGCTTTTCTCTCCTGTGCTGTAGTGGCATTGATTTCCCCCACTATGCAAGCACTCAAGCACACACACGGATCGAAACAGCCTGCTTCGCACTCATGAGCATTGCACTTTCTCTGAGGGGGCTGCTGGTTGCTCGGGACTTGAAAGACTGCTCCACCTACAGGCAGCCCTTCACCCCACTCCTGGCGGACCACCTTCTGCCCCACCTGCCTCTGAGGGAAATGCTGCACGCTGATGAGAAAGGCAGGCAGGTGGGCACGCAGACAGACAGACAGACAGACAGACAGACTCATGGACAAATGGCCACTTTCAGAACTGTGGCAAATTCACCATTCCATGGATTCCCTCAGGAAATCAGGGGATTACAAGGAAAAGAATCACTGCAGTGTGCTTGTAGCTAGAAATCTCCTTTGCGGTTTTCTCTTTTTGGCTACAAGGTTAGAATGGAGTGAAATGGTTCAGTGGCTCTGGAGATCCCAAGCATAGACATCCACTGATTTGCCTCCTGCCATACCATTTCCACTCAGGAACTCCTCCATGAAATCTGCCAATGTTCCCAAGTTCTTGAACGCTTTGCAGCCCTTGGCGAAGTAGTAGAATGAAACCAGCACATCTCTGGGGTTGCGCATGGTGTAGATAACCTGAGGATCAGAGAGGAATCCTGTTAAGCATGAGCAGAACTTCCTCCGGTTACAAAAAAATCTCCAATCAGGAAAGGATGCATACTATTTGTCTGTGTGAGTGCATCGACATATGAATAAAGGTAAAGGTTTCCCCTTGATGTTAAGTCCAGTCATGTCTGACTCTAGGGGGCAGTGCTGCTCTCCATTTCCTAGCCAAGCGAGCCAGCATTTGTCTGCAGACACTCTCCGTGGTCATGTGGCCTCATGATAAACACTGAAGTGCGCGGAACGCTGTTAACTTCCCGCGAAAGTGGTACCTCTTTCTCTACTTGCATTTGCATGCTTTTGAACTGCAAGGTTGGCAGGAGCTGGGACAAAGCAACGGGAACTCATCCCGTTGTTACAAAAAATCTCCAGTCAGCAAAGAAGTCGTCTGCATAGTATTTGTCTTTGTGAGTGTGTCTACATATGAATACAGGAAAGTAAATATGTACCAATGCAGCATTTGTATTCTTAAGTTCCTATGTTCTCAAGAACCAAACACAGCACAAAGAAGTGATGGGAATCCGAGGGAAACAGAAAATGTTCCTTCCTCTGCAGGAGAACCTGCCTCTTCTGAAGAATTGGCATTCTCCTTAGCTGGTGCTATTTCTATATATCATGTGTTCAGGGAGCCTGCAGTGCTGGCTGTCTTACATTGGCATGGGCTTGGAAAAGAAGAGTCCTGGCAAGCCCTTTCAGCTCAAAGATTCCCCCAGTCTATGCCACTGAACTCTGAATTTCCAGGAAACGTTTTTGCAGTATTCTGCTGAGAAGGCCGTCTGGCCCCTAAAAGAGAAAGCATGTCACATTCCATGGTCCATTGGGTAGCCAAGAAGCCTCCAGTGAGGATACAGACTGAACGTATTAGGGGGATTACAACTATACTTTGTTCTTTTCAGCATCAGCAGACCATTCAGAAGAATTTCCCTAACCTTGCCTATGTTTTAGTATTCATTGTGTAATCCTAGAATTCCTTTTCTACATTTTGCAGCCTACCAGAAGGTGCAAGTGAACTTCAACTGTAACGGTTCCTCTCCTACCTTCGCTTTGGAGTGGAGGAAGGACTTAGGGAAGACATGAAATGGCAGGTGACTGGATAGCAGCCTGGGTGGAGGAAGTGCCAAGGCACGCTTCAAGAAACACTCATGCTCAATCCATGGGGGCCGCTCCAGTACTCCCAAATTCTGAACTCTTGAGGGGTCCCCATCATTCCGGATCAAGCCCAAGATCTCTTGCATCCAAAAGGTGCCTGAGGGAGGAAAAACACATCACAGAGCTCCCTCTTCTCCTGGTCCAGCAATCACTTTCCAAATTCTCACTTGCACTACCCACAAATATTGTCAGCCCTTTGCAAGTCTATGTGCTTTTTCAAGACAGAACAGATTTCTTTAAACTGAAAGTAGCTACCAGAAATGCTTTAAGGCCTGGATCCCCCAGAGTCATGACCGGTTGAACACTGCCGCATTTGCATGAACACGTCCTTCCTGGGGTGGGCAGGGTGTGGGCAGGGCCAAGTGAAGTTTTTGACCATGGGATCAAGCTAATGATAACATGCTTGTCTTTTTGTGTGATGCAATCCTTAAATAGCGTTCGTATCTTAAATAGTGATGTGGCCAGTAAGGCCCTGCAAGGATATCCCAGGATTGTTTGTATACCTCCTGCTGAAAGGGAGTCAGCAAAGTACCCTATGTACTTTATGCAAGGCCATGAACTCCAGGAAGAAAACATGATCCATGAACCCTCTTCCCCTGCCATAACCACACGCATTTTTGATTTTCATTTACATCACCATAGCCTCCTCCTCCTGCTCCGAAGATGCAAGCTATTTGGATTTGCACAATGGCAATTCTTGCACAGCTCTCAGGACCATGCAGTGATCATTCCTCCTATGTTGACTAGCAAAGTATGGCAGCATCTGCGACACAATTCTCCTGATGCAAACTCCAGAATCGGGCTGGTACCAGAGACTTTGAGCTGGAATATGACCCTGCACTTTCTGCTGTTTGATCTGATTGGACTCTATTGATGGAGAGTGAGGAGTGAGCTGAGCAGCAAAGGCCTCCCCAAGCTGGAACTGCAGCCTGAAATCACTCTGCAAAGGGAAGATCGGTCACACTATACAGCTTTCTGCACTCCCAGGTAGCTATTGATCATCTGGCGCTCCTGGAAATCATGTGAGGGCAAAATCCACTGTGGCTGCCTGGAACCCTCTAGAATGGGTCGCTTCCAAGCTCTCAGAGAGTGCGGGGAAGCACAGAGGGGAGGCTGGCCCAGTTTCCTCCTCGCTGCAAGAGATATTCAGAAAGGAGCTCTTGGCAGTGCCGAGATTGTCCCCCACACTATGAGGAAGAGAGGCGGAGGTGCTGCCGGGATCTCTGTAGAAGAGCAGCACCCTGCTCCTAGTCTGGGTGCAAAGTTCACAATACAAACCATACGTGCTGCCTTATCTTGTCTCTCAAGGTCCACATCCAGACCGAGTGAGCTGCACCGTCAGTACAGTATGGGTCCATTAAAGGACATTCCTGAAATACTTGGTTTTGGGACTCAGCAATGATGATGGGGAGATAAATTACTTTATTGATCTGTATCCATGCTGCATTTCACTTGAAGGGAAATGAATTAATACCACCCAGAGCAAAAACTTATAGTTCATTTAGGAGGATTCTCCTTAGGGATATAGAAGCACCACTGACCTGACTTGGGGTAAGTGACCACCACTGTATCGTCATCCAGGAGCTGGAATTCATTCTCCACAAAGCTGAGTGTTTCCACTGAGTGTTCACCTTCTGCGAATGGGGTGCCCTTGTAGGTGAAATACGTCTCTGATGACATTGCAGGGAAATATCTGCATATGGAAAAGAGAGAGAAGCAGAGAGAGAGGTACACTACAACACCTGTCAGAATTTTTGTTGTTTGTTTCCTGCAACCAGCAAAACATGCACCATGAATGGCTTATAGACTGGCTCCCAGTTTGACACCCGGAAAGTGGAATTCCAGAGTTATGTCACAGAGGTGAAAATTGAAGTACACTATGTCAAAATTAACATTTCCTCAGAGTTCAAGAAAAGCTACTCACAAGTGAGGGCATCCAGTCTGAAAAGGAGATGCCCTGGGTTCTATGCATCTGTTGGGTCAAGCTTTTAAAAGAAGTGCAGCAGGGAAAGCATTGACAGGGACCATGAATCTCCCGGCCATACAACCCAAATACTTGTCCACTCACCGAGGAATTCAGCCTGCGTGGCAAGAGGTCCACCCTCCACAGTCTCTGAATGTTGCTACCTCACTCCTTGCACGCCTGCAACTCATGCAGAATGATGAGGAATGTCAGCACACAGGTTGTTGCTTCCTGTTTGCTTAAAGTCAAAAGCAGGGTTAATATTGAAACAGTGTATAAGGGGACATTCACCTTTTGATTACATAAATGGAAACAGGACACATTGACGAAGAAGCCGATGGAGCGCACCTCTTAGCAGAGTCAAGTTTTTGGCCTTGGCAGACCCATGGCTTTTTGCATCCTTAGACACTGATCCACATAGAAGCTCTCACTGGCAGTGCCAATGGGGCCGCACTGGCAAGGATTTTTGTCCAGATGAGCACCCCACCCGCAAGGGTTCCCGCACCCCAATCTGCATCACGGAGGTTTCTGTGCTTATCTGACGTGCTTACAAAGCTCCCGTGGAAAAGCTCCAAGGTTGCACCAACAAGCATGCTTACAACCTCCCTTCAGATCTGCCTGCTGAGTGCGAGAAGGACTATGATCTAGCCAGGCCACAAAAAGGCAGGGCTCCTCTGTAGCCACCATTGGAGAAGTCATGTAGACCAAGACTCTTCTCTCCATGTAGTGAAGAGGCTGCAAATGGAGATCTCACAAAGTTGCCTAGCAATTACATGGCAGGTGTGGAATTTGCACTGGGGATTTTTCTACATTGCTAAGGTATCCCCATTGCTGCAATAGAGCAGCATTAATGCAGGAATCTCGATGGAATTGGGACAGGTTTCTTCACTGGCATCCTCATTGTTTTATTTGCACACTGGAGCATGAGTGGATCTGAAAGTAGCCCAATCCACGCTTGTCTTGTTGGCAAGTGGTAAGGATTCCGCCTCTCCTGCAAGCCCAAGCACCATGAATCACTTCACTGTTAGTGTTTTGCTATGGACTCCTGAACACTTAGGATTTGTTTTGCTTCTAGGAGGGAAGATGGCGAAGAAGGAACATCGCTCAGACACAGCTCCCACTTACTTTGAATGATTGAAGCCACAATTAACTGAAGTAAGCTAATATGTACAGCCAAAGGGAGGAGAATAAGAAAGAGACGGCCTACTACAAGCCCTGGACAAGAAAAGCTGGAAGAGGAGGGGAAGAAAAAACAGCTTAGAATCGAAAGCTTTCTCCCCTCCAATGGGGCCGCATATGCTGTGGGTACAGTGGTACCTTGGCTCACAAACTTAATCCGTTCCAGGACTCTGGTTGTGACCCAAATTGGCCATGAGCCAAGTTAAATTTCCCCATAAGGTTCAATGTAAATAAAGTTAATCCATTGTGTAACCATTTTTTAAAATCAGAAACATGTGAAGCAAAGTGACAAAGAACAACAAAGATCGTGGCCATCTCCCCCTCCCCACCCCGAGCACAAGCATGGTCATCTCCCCGCCCACCAGCACGACCAAGATTGCGCCTGTCATCCTGGCGTGCTGGCCAGTGGGAGGGTGGGGGCGGAGATGACCAAGAGCACGGTTGCCCTTGTGCAGGAAAGCTGGGTGCAATCACGGACACACTCCTTCAGGAAAGACGGTCATGATCTTGTCCATTCCCCCCCCCGCCCCCAGCATGATCATGGCCATCCCCCCATGGCACCCCGATTGTGCTGAGGGCAGGGTGGGGGAGATGGCCGAGATCACGCCCGTCTTTCCTGCAGGAGGTGCCCATGATCACGCATGTCTTCCCTGCATGAATGCAACTGCAATTGTGGCCATCTCCCCATTTGCGGGGATGGGGGGAGAGGGTGGTGATTTTGGTTGCCACCCAATGCAGAGTTCACAACCCACATCAAAATTTTCAAGACATTTTTGTTCGTGACCAAATTTGGTCGTGAACCAAGGCGTCCATGAACCAAGGTGCCACTGTATTGGGAGCAGCACCAAGAGCAGACTTGCAGCATTTCCCTGAACCCCCATCACTAGTTCAGCTTGTCAAGAGATAGAAAGTAGTCCATTAATTAAAAAACTCAGTCAAGGATAATGCAAGGAAACAGAAACCTTTAGGATAAAAGTAAACAGTCTGATGACAGAATACACTCTCCCCCCGCAGCCAAATAGCCTCTCTCAGCAGTTAGGTGAAATCTTCTTTATATCTGCAGAAACTCTACTTTTGATTCTTGAGCATTTAAACAAAATTGAAAGGCAATTAGAAGCCTTAATCCAAATGTATGCCCACCCAGTACCCAAGTCAGAACAAAGAGGTGAGAAGGAGGAAGATCCCACTGTTTCTTGCTCCCCCCTTTAACTCTGAGCAAATGCAATTTGCACAACATAAGACTGAAGGAAGAGTACAGAGAGTATTCCAAACAAATCAGATCCTAATATCCTTCCCAAAGAAAGATGCTTAACTCTGGACAAATAAGGAAAGAATACTTACCTTTCTCACAGAGTTGCTGAATCATGCTATACCCACACTGGATTTTAAACACTTCCACTTTCTACCATCACAAATGGACCACAAAAGTTTATTTCTAGACTTTAAATCACCTACTGTGCACTTTTTCACTCAGCACAATAACTGAGAGGGTATGACATAATCCCTCAGAGATTCTTCAAAGAGATAGACGTTAGAGTCCCTTCCAGAGCTAGAAGGGTTAATCATGGCACCACTTCATCAGTGTTAACTTGAACAGCTGTGGAGGAGGCTAGCCTTGACATAAAAGATAACTGCCAATGAACAGTCACTGTGACCAGGCTGGCGCCCATGCAACTGAGCAGGAGGGACTTGTAAAACTAAGGAACAAACCATATAAGCTATTAATGCCAATTAGAACTAGACAACACAGAGAAGACCTGGGCTTGGAGAGAGATAGCAACATCTCAGATCCTGACTTTTCCCTTATGAGCTCTCTGGATTTAAATTTGGATACCTCTGCTCACATCACAGACTGTGAGATGAAGCTAACCGATAATGCTGGACTGGATAACAGGCCACTCCATTCCCCATTGATTAAGGAAAACCCCATGACTGCCACAATTGATTACAAGGAAGTGGAACCAGAGATGAAGGCACCAGTGGGGACAAGGGAGTTGTCCAAGAGAGACCCAGACTGGAGACCTCAGATAGTCACCGAGGAACTCATAGAAGGTCTACCAAAACCAACAAGTACTCAACCTAGCACTGAGCTAGATGACATTGCAGAAACAGACTGCCATGCCCCTTGGATACCCCAACTCAATTCCTTAAGTCCTCAAGTGATGCCTGGACACTACATAAAATCAGGTTCAATGCATCTCCCAGGTGACCACCTCGCTGGGAGAGAATTGGTTGGACTCCCCTGCACCCTCAGCTGGACTGCCTCTACAGCCAATAACTGGAAAAGGAGTCCCCAGGAGCTGGAAGGTAACACCTCTGAGACCCAGTGACAATCAGACAACCAGCATGTGAATAAAACTGACTTTATTACATGGAACATAAATGGCTGGGCAGGGATTCTGCAGGACCCTGAATCTAAAGACTATCTTTCTTCTAAGGACATTGTACTCCTACAAGAAACATGGATCCAGGGGGCCTTGCTACTTAATGGTTTCCAATCACACTCCATTGATGCAGTCCCTGGGCTGGTCATGGAAGACATAAAGGAGGCCTAGGCATTCTAATTGCACATCTTTGAGTGTAAGCACAAGGATGCTGCCATCTTGCAAACAACATGCAATGGCTGTCTTTGTTCATTTTGCTCAATGGGACCTGCTGATAATAAACACCTAACTTCCCCAACGAAAGAAAAAACCACAAATTAGGGGAATTTGGGCAGAATTTGAAACATACATAGCAGATCTGCTCCAATCTTACCCTAATACATATGTGATTATGGGAGGGGACTTTAACGCCAGGATGGGCCCAAATGATCATGCCTTACACTCTCAGCAAAAAGCTCAGCCCCCTAAACCTAGCCTGAATGGGCCTCCTTTTATCAGGCAATCCAAAGACATAAAATCTAACTATTCTGGGCTCTTACTACATCAACTGACCACAAGGCTGAACCTGCACACCCTTAACAGTGCATTTGGAAAAGACCACCCAGAGGAATGTACTTACTTGGCAGAAACCAAAATGAGCCAAATAGACTACCTCATTGCTTCAACAAATTTGATTCCTCTTTTAGAAGACATGAAGGTTGCCCCAAAACTTTGCAGTGTTCATCTTCCAGTCTCATTGATTTGGAAAGCCCCACACCCCTACCCACAAAGTACCACTTGTTACACACCTATGATACTTTCAGAGGGGGAAACATATTGCTGTATCAAATGGTCTCCAAGAAGGTACATGGAATTATGGGACTTACTTTCATCAGACAGCATGCAAAACATCAGGACATCTCTAATATCCAGTATCCAAACAACTAGCCTGGTGGAATTATATCAGAAGTTAGCCCGGGAATTGAAACAAGCTCTCACTTGGGAAGCAGGGATGCCCCAGCAACAGCACCACCCAGCCTCGAAGCCCTGGTTTGATAGGGAATGTGTTAGGCTTTCTTTGCTCAAAGAATTAGCTGCCCAGATGAAAGTGGGCAAAGCCCCGGAGAAGACCTGATTCCTCCAGAGGTGGTCAAAAACAACTTAGGATGGTAGATTCTGGTTCTAGCATCACTATTCTCCTATATTGACATGACCAAGCAGATTCCAGCAGAATGGGACCCTGCCATCATTGTCTCCATATTCAAGAAGGGAAAGAGAGATGACCCCGCAAATTATAAACCCATCAGTCTATTAAGCATTATCGGTAAACTATATGCCAGGCACCAATATGTAAAACTCGAAGACTGGCTAGAACAGAACATGCTATAGGCAGAGGAGCAGGTCAGCTTCAGGGAGGGTTGCCCTACTATAGATCAATGTTTGGTGCTACATTGAGAAATACATTTCAAGCAAAGTCACCTCGCTCTACCCAGCCTTTATAGACCTTAAGGCAGCTTTCAATTCCAACTCAAGTGTTAAACTATGGAAAATTAGAGGCCTCCAATATTGATAGGCACCTGCTCCTACTTATTCAGACCCTGTGCAGAGGGACCTCCCTCAAGGTCAGATGCAGTGCGCATGGTCACCTCACAAATGCTGTTCCAACACAAAAAGGGGTTAAGCAAGGCTGTATTCTCGCTCCACTCC